AGAACAGATGAAATAATTTTATGACTGGAATGTTGAAATTATACTTAAGAAACAAAACTGGAGAAGAAAAGGAAAACTGTTTGCCTATGGACTTAATTCTTATGATGATTTATTCTCATAATGTTCTTCTATAACAATTTTACTGTGTGTAAATGGTATTATAGCATCTTCATATTAAAATGGTGCAGTGACAATATTTCTAGTTATTGGATGTACTAGAATGACTAAAATATTAATATATATAATTCTGTTCATAACAAATCCTTCTTCCTTCCTTTTGTTTGTCCATCTCCTTTTCTTTTTCCCATTCTTTTTTTATTCTCACATCTCTTTCTCACTCAGCATTTACTGAGTGCCTGCTCTTTACCACACACTGCAATTTATTTATCTCTGGGAGTACAGAGATAAATAAAATATAGTTCCTGCTCTCAAAGATCTCACAGTCTAGACCAGCAAATAGACAATTACAGTACACTCTGTTCAGTTCTGTTACTATGTACACAGTGCTGAGGGAGCACAGGAGGAACCCCAAACCCAGACTAGGACATGAGGCATGGAGGAAGGCTTAGAAAAGACACCTTGGAGGGGCGCCTGGGTGGCTTAGTTGGTTAAGCATCCAACTCTTGATTTCAGCTCAGATCATGATCTCAGGGTTGTGAGATCAAGCCCCACGTGAGGCTCTGTGCTGGGTGTGGAGCCTGCTTGAGATTCTCTCTCTCTCTCTCTCTCTCTGTGCCCCCCCCCCGTCAAAAAAGAAAAAAGAGGGATACCATGGTAGCTCAGTTGTTAAGCATCTGCCTTCGGCTCAGGTCATGATCCCAGGGTCCTGGGATTGAGCCTCGCATTGGGCTCCTTGCTCAGTGGGGAGCCTGCTTCTTCCTCTCCCACTCCCCCTGCTTGTGTTCCCTCTCTCGCTGTGTCTCTCTCTGTCAAATGAATAAATAAAATCTTTTTTTAAAAAAAAGATACTATGGAGAACATGATACAGGAATGGAATCATGAAGGATGAAGTAGAGTTAGCGAGTGAATGGAGTGTGAGGAAAGAACTTGCTAGGTGTTGGCCACAAGTTATGCAAAGATAGAAGACTGTCAAGGTACACGTTGATCATCTCACAAAGGATCTTGTACGTCCGGTCAAGGTGTATAAACATGCGGCCAATACTGAAAGCTTTTAAGGAGGGGAATGGGGTAGATTTTACATAGTTCATTCCATTTCTTACTGGCTGTGTGGCCTTGGGCAAGCCATTTAACTTCTCTCAAGTTTGGTTTCTTCATTTGTAAAACAACCATCATCATGTTTATTGTAAGGTAACTCTGATGATTACATGGGGTTCACAGGTCCAGACAATGTGTGATGTATTAGAGGTATTAAGAAATTATTTGATTCTCTTTCTTTGTACTCATCTGTGATTTCTTGCATTACATGGTAGGTTAACAGGTGTATCTTGAGTACCTATTATGTGCCAGTTTCAATTCTAAGCCCTAGGAATATAGTTGAATAAGACAGTTCTTGACTTCAAGGAGCTCTGAAGTATGTACCTAACTATAATAATCACAAGGCCATGGTTTCCGGTCTCCTCTATGCCATTAGGAAATCATAAACCCACTCATTTTCTAGCCCTCTTTAAACTTCTCTCTATCCCCATCCATCTTTACCTTCTTCCCTCCCCTGTCAGATAGCATCTTGGACCTTCTCCTACCCATTGTCTTTCCATATGAGCTTTGTATGCTATCCTCTTCACTTTTCTTTTCTTATTTGTTCCCTCTATATAGAAACATACTTAAATCTTTCCTGCATTAAACACAGAGCTCCATCCTTATCCCTAGGATCTGGAGAGACCACAGCATAACAGTGTTGGTCCAGCCAGTGTTAGTCAAAGCACTGTAGCAACAGAACTCAGGAGTCAGCGTTATTTAGAAATGGAGATAGATGGTTCAAGGATAGTCTCTTAGCAGGGTGAAAGGTGACTAGTTCAGTGGTAGGAGTGTGGGAGTGGTGGGAGTAATCAGTGTTGTCCAGAATCAGAAAGGATCTAGTTCTAGAGAACCTGATTACCAATGTAGGGACTAAGGCATAGGAAATCAGTATGGGACTCAACTGAGATGCAGGGTGAACCAGGTGGAAATCCTGATGTCTCAAATAAGACACAAAGTCAAAGTCAGGCTAGTAGCCACATTGACATAGTGGTGAGTCCAGTGTATGGGTCCACAGTTCTCAATATATCTTGCCCCACGGTAGGCCTCTTCTTAGCAACTAAAGCCAACTAGACCTGTATGAGCATGTCAAGTAGCTTTCACTCCTGGGAAGAGAAGGAACTGGCTGGCTAAGGTCTCACCATTTCAATTAGGAGATGTTGGAGAAAGAGCATTCATGCTAAGTAGATAAAATAACATGACAAAAGCACAGTATGAAAAGTATGGCATATTTCAAGAACATAGAATACTCTGATATGGCTAGAACATGAGTGGTTCATACAAGGAGTGCAGGATATGAGACTAGACAGTATATTGGGATGAGACTGAGGGCCTTGAATTCCAGACTAAAGAGCTTGTACTTGGTACTGAATTAAGTCTACTATTGCTATCCCATAACTGGGGTCTTGGGATCTGGTTCAGTGGTGTGCTGTGTGTCCTTAAAGCATTTCCTTGATTCTTTTTTCTTATAAAATATATGATAGTTTCTTTACAAGATTGTCTTTTTTCACATTGGGTAATTGATGGCCAGAAAGTGTTTTGTTTAAGGTACCATAAGTAATAAATGGAAAAGGTAGAATTTAAACCTGGTTCAGTGCCCTTAATAGTATTGGAGTTAGAAGCAAAGACTTAAAGCAGCATTTATTAACAATAGCCAAATTATGGAAAGAGCCCAAATATCCATCAATTGATGAATGGTAAAGAAGATATGGTATGGAATATTACTCAGCCATAACAAGGAATGAAATCTTGCCATTTGCAATGACATGGATGGAGCTAGAGAGTATTATGCTAAGTGAAATAAGTCAGAGACAAATACCATATGACTTCATTCATATGTGAAATTTAAGAAACAAAACAAATAAGCAAAGGGGACAAAAGGAAAACCAAGAAACAGACTTTTCACTATAGAAAACAAACTGATGGTTACTGGAGGGGAGGTGGATCGGGGATGGGCTAAATAGGTGATGGGGATTAAGAAGTACACTTGTGATGAGCACCAGGTGTTGAATGCAAGTTTTGAATCACTAAATTGTACACATGAAAGTAATATGACACTGTATATTAACTAACTAACTGGAATTTAAATAAACACTTAAAAAAAAAAAGAAGCCAGAACTTTAGAGTCACATCTGGGTTTAAATCTTACCTCCTCCATTTCTAGCTGTGCAACTTGAAGGAAGTTAGTTCTCTGAGCCTCAGGCTCATTCCTCATCTATAAAATGGGGATAACAATAGTAACACTCAGAGGCTTTTGTCAGGATTTAAAGAAGTAATGCATGTAAAATGCATAATATAACAACTGGCAAATGATCCTCAGTAAATGGTAACTTTATAGTATTATATATAATTCAGATAAAAATGTGATTTGCAACTATTTGCAAAAGTTGCCCAAAATAGACTAAAAGGAGTTGATGTAATATACTTATGGGCAGGTAGTTCACATTAGTATTTCTAATTCAACAGCAGTTTGATGCTGTGGTTATATTTGGATCCAAACATATTGCTTGTTCTGCAGCTGAGGTTGCAAGTCCATTTCATTCATTCATTCAACAGATATTTATTTAGTTCCACCATATACAAGAGACTGTTTCATGTACAGTGACCAAGAAAGATGAAGTCTGTGCCCGTGTGAAGCTTACATTATAATGGTGTGGCAGGGGGTGGGATGCTAATAATTAGATAAATTAAATTATTTACTATTAGGTAAACAATTAGATAAATAATTTTAGATAGTGATAAATGCTATAAAGACAATAAAATGGATAATTTGGTAATTTGACTGGTGGGGGTAGAGATAGTACTGGGCAACTTTAAAGGGGTTTATACTAGAAAGCTTCTAAAAAGGTGACGTTTTAGGTGTGACCCGAATGTTAAAAAAGAGCCAGCCTTGGGAAGAGCTGGAGAAAGAATGTTTTAGTCATGAAAACAGTTAGTACCAGGCTCTGAGATAAGAGAAGCTTGATTGTATGTTTAAGAAACTTGAAAGAAATTCATTTTGGCTGGGGTGAACACTGGGGAGAGAGTGGTAGAAGATGTAGTTGGAGAAGAACACAGGGATCAGATCATGTCGGGTTTTGTAGGTCATAGTAAGAAATGTGGATTTAATCCTAAGGGCAACAGAGAACTCTTGAAGGTTTTAAGCTGAAGGAAGTGATGTGACTGATTTCTATTTTTGATAATAATAGCTTTTGTATATTAGATATAGTGATAAGGACATTACATGTATTTGGCTCATTTTAATCCTCAAGTAACCCAAATAGAATAGGATACTTTGTTATTTTTGTGATTATTTTGAAGAGTATGACATCTGAAGTTTAGGGAGGTTAACTTTTCAAAAGTCATAAAATTCATAATATAACCAGAATTTGAGTTTGGGTCTGTCTGATCCCTGCACCTACTATTTTTTTACTGTGGTTTAAAAGAAAATATATTTCTATAACAGAATTTGCCATTTTAATCATTTTTAAGTGCACAGTTGAGTGATATTGATTACATTCAAAATTATGTGCAGCCAACACCACTACATAATTCTAAAACCCTTTCATCATCCCACATACAAACTCTGTAGCCAATTGACACCTTTCTGTCCTCTCTTCAGCTCCTAATAAACTCTAAACTACTTTGTATCTCTATGAACTCTATAAACTTTTGTATTCTACATACTTCATATAAGTGGAATCATACAATACTTGTCTTTTTGTCTGACTTACTTCACTTAGCATAATGTTTTCAAGGTTCATGTTGTAGCATGTATCAGAATTTCATTCATTTTTATGGTTGAATTTTACATTGTATGTATATACCACATTTTGTTTATTCAGTCATCCATTGTTGAACACTTGGGTGGTTTCCAGCTTTTGGCTATTGTGAATAATTCTGGAATAAACAATGGCAACCAAGTATCTGTTTGAGTCCCTGTTTTCAGTTCTTTCAGATATATACTCAGGAGGGGTCACATTATTAATTGTATGTTTAAATTTTTGAGGAAATGACAAAATGTTTTCCAAGGTGACTCTACCACTTTACATTCCTTTTGGCAGTGCACAAGGTTTCCAATATCTCCACATTCTCGCTGACACTTGTTATTTTCCATAATTTTTTAAAATTATAACTATCCAGGTAGTATAAAGTGGATGTATCTTGTGGTTTTGATTTGTATTTTTAATGACTAATGATGATGAGCATCGTTTCTTGTATTTATTGCCATTTGTATATCTGGAGACATGGAGAAAAGTTTATTCAAGTTGTGCCCATATATTTTTGCTCATATTTTTTAAATAATTGAGTTACATGTCTGAATGTTGTTCAGTGCAAGAATTCTTTATATATTCTAGATACTGGACCTTTATCAGATGTATAATTTGCAAATTTTTTTTTCATTCTGTAGATTGTCTTTTTACCTTCCTGACAATAGCCTTTGGTGCACAAAAGTTTTTAATTTTTATGAAATCTAGTTTATATATCTTTTGTTGCTCATGATTTTGGAGTTACATCTAATAAATCCGTTACAAAATCCAAGGTCATGAAAATGTACCTCTGTATTTTCTTCTAAGAGTTTCATGATTTTGGCTATTATATTTAGGTTGTTGATTCATTTTGAGTTAATTTTTATATAAGGCATGAGGCAGGGGTCCAAATTTCTTTTGCATATGGAAATCCAATTGTCCTAGCACCATTTGTTGAAGACACTATTTATTTCCCCATTGAATGATATTGATACCCTTGTCAAAAATCATTTGGCCACATATATATGCGTTTACTCTAGATTCTCATTTCTATTCCATTGCCAGTACCACATTGTTTGGATTACAGTAGTTTCATAGTAACTTTTGAAATTGGAAAGTGTAAGTCCTCCAATTTTGTTCTTTTCCAAAAATATTTTGGCTGTTCAGGGCCCCTTACAATTTCATATAAATATGAGGATCACTTTTTACATTTCTTCAATAAATGTTGGATTTTGATAGAGATTGCATTGAATCTGCAGATCAATTTTGGTAGTACTGTCATCCTAACAATAGTTAGTCTATGATCCAAGAACACAGGGTATCTTCCCATTTATTTGGGTCTTCTTCAGTTTCTTTCATCAATATTTTGAGGATTTAAGTGTAAAAGTCTTTCAACTCCTTTGTTACATTTATTTCTAGGTAATTTAATCTTTTGGATACTATTGTAAATGGAATTGTTTATTAATTTTCTTTTTCAGATTGTTCATTGCTGGTGTATTGAAACACAACTGATTATGTACCCTGCAACATTGCTGAATTCATTTATTAGCTCTTGTAGATTTCCTGTGCATTTTTAAAAATAAATTTGTAAATATAGAATCATGTCATTTCTGAAGAGACATCATTTCACTTCTTCCTTTTCAATATGGATGTATTTTCTTTCTTTCTTTCTTTCTTTCTTTCTTTCTTTCTTTCTTTCTTTCTTTCTTTCTTTCTTTCTTTCTTTCTTTGTTCTTTCTTTCTTTCTTTCTTTCTTTCTTTCTTTCTTTCT